TATCATAAAATTTTTCAGGCACACTAGGGCGCTATCCTAGTTCAAGAGGGGAGGGGGAGTAAGAGAGGAGTACCACTCGCTAACACCTCCAAATCTTCGGGAGAACGTGCGATCTTTCAAAACATCGACTCGCTGATTCTGCTATTGTTCTTTCTGCCGCTCCTATTAACATAGCCCCAGAAATAGGGGTGTGTGGGGGAGGGGAAGGTGTTCAGAACAAATACCATAGAAGGTCATGGGTTTCACTAAGAACAACATCAGTTATGCCACAAGAGTTCGACTAATGATTTTTGAGCCTATTTGTTGGTCCCTTCAAGTTCCAATTTCTCTTAGGTCATGTTTTATGAAACCACATATCTAGGGATCTTGTTCAACGGGTCAACCACCGAAACCGGACGAGGACATCAGACTCATTCAGGATCGATTTCGCCATATCAATCACAAGGTGATTGTTTCGATTTCTAGTATCTCTATCTCTTGAAGATCTCGTTGTAACTGGCTGTATGGGTGCTTCAGTTTGAATTTTTGCCACTCATTTTGGGAAATTCTACCTTGTTTCTCTGGAAAATCCCTACTATTGCTCTCATTTTGTCGTCAGGCAAGGCTAGCAACATAGTCGCAAGTTTGAGTATGCTTTAAGCACGCATTCTTCTTGTGAAGAATGCGAATAAGAACAGGATGCATAGGGTGGAAAGCTGCTTGTAAGCCCGTATAGGCTGCCAGGGAAGCCCGTTCGTGGAACGATGGCAGCAGGTGTCAGTTGAAGGTTGTCTACCATTCGCTATCATCTTTTTTCATTATCTGTCATATCAGCAAGCTGATGAGACCCCTTTACTGTCAGCAGAGTAAGTTCTTGAAAAAATTCTCATCTAGACAGTAAACCGATAACCGCGTTTGTGGTGACTTGGTTAACAAGTTTTGATAATCGCTACATACCTGATGAGTTTTGAGAGCTATTTTCTAAACTCTGCATTGTGCTGAGGTAGATCAGTAAATCCTTGGACCGGTTTCATTTACCGTTTCTCATTCTTCCATGAACAGTTGACAGCCAAATCGTGAAATGTTATTAGCAGAGATTGTAGCTGACCAGCTGTTTCTTCTATTACTAACCTTGCAGCTTTTCAGATCCTGATTCTCAGCGGAAAAGGAGGAGTCGGCAAAAGCACTGTAACATCAAGTCTTGCAAGAGCATTGGCCGCGGATGCATCAAAGCAGGTTAGAGCATTATCTCAGTCCTTTTCAGTTAGTTTTCGAGGAGCATCTGACGGGTTTTATGTTAGGTAGCGATCTTGGATGTGGATATCTGTGGACCTTCACAACCGCGTATGTTGGGTGTTGAGCAAGAGGAGGTACACGATAGTGCTGACGGATGGACTCCTGTATCCGTCAAGGATAATCTTATGCTTATGAGCATTGCTTTTTTGTTAGGTTCGTTCGTTCCCATGATCCTCTATTTCTTTGTTAGCATTTCAGTATAGTTTGCATAGGAGAGGTTCTGATCGTTATTGACATTCAGTTTAGTTTTGCATAGACAGAGACTTTCATAATTATTCTTGGCGCAGTTCGGCTTGGTGGGGGCTTTTACACCGTTCCATCGGGCAGTGCCGATGCCTCCTGCTAGGAACTGTATGGCTATGCCTAGCAGGAGCTTCGTTTGCACTTGCTAAGGGTCTGCAGGTTTCATCTGGATGTTGGACGCCTAAGTTAAGAGGAACTATTGAAAAACTAGCTAGATGCTTCCCCCTCCTACCATATTTTTCTTTCAATATAAATAGTATAAGCTACCGATTTATTTATTACAGGTAACAAGAATGATGCTGTTATCTGGCGTGGTGCTCGTAAAAATGGAATGATCAAGCAATTCCTGCGCGATGTTGATTGGGGAGAGGTCTGTTTGAGCTGAAATCTCAAAAGCAAGCCTTCATGAAACGGAGTGCTTGCCAATTGAGCAGGCTTATTATGGGTTTTCAACTCGTTTTAGGTTGATTACCTGTTGATAGACACACCACCAGGCACCATCTGATGAACACATCTCTTTGGTGCAATTTCTTCTTCAAGCAGGCACTCTTGATGGTGCCATTATTGTGAGCACCCCACAAGAAGTATCTTTGCTTGATGTTCGGAAGGAGGTGAGTTCTTTCGGCGAATTGCTTCTACTTGGTATCGTGTCTCTTGGACTTATTTACCCCTGTATAATCTAGTTATGATCACTCCCGCTTCGGAAGCGGGCACGGTTAGTATAAATAAGCTTCTTTCAGGTGAGCTTCTGCCACAAAACGAAGGTCCCTATACTGGGTGTTGTGGAAAATATGGCGAAGTTTGTTTGCCCACATTGTAATCATACAAGTATATTGTTCCCTTCAACCACAGGTTAGTGAGGTTGCTTTGTCGCAGACAGATTTCGACATTTCATAAAACGAGTTTACATAAAATGGAAGTTCAATTTTTCAATGAGATAATTTCAGGAGGTGCAACGACTATGTGCGATGAAGGGAAGTTGCAGCTTCTCAGTCAACTGCCATTGGAACCTGCTCTTGCTCAAGTAAGACCTGTTTTAGTCTACGATGGAGCTCGTCTAAAATGTGCTCCATGGAGAACTGTCACTGTTACCAGTTCTGAGTGAAGTTGGTGTCTTTGAAGTGGGGGCAAACACCGGCCGCGTTAGGGGAAGCATGCTGCACACTTTTCCTTACAGGTAAGTGTCCCTTCTCCCACTTGCTTACGGCCTCGAAGTTACCACGTAATACCTACAGCGAAGGCTCAGGGAGGCGTTTGCGTGCGCTGGCTTACCTGAACACGCTGCCGCAGTGTATGAACATTCTCGCCCACCACCAGCTCCCATGTGTTGCCTGAAAGCATGTTCCTTCCCAGTGGCAACTACTGAAGCAGAAAATCCTCCTCCTAGCAGAAACTATAGCATTGGATACCATGTCTCACCAGGTCTAGGTCCTCTCCTTTCACCGTGTAATCCTTTTCCGAGGCTCAGCCTTAGAAGGGCCCAGACGGCGAGAGTCGGCTCAGCCTATCCTCGTTGCCTGTCCAGCCGCTTTAGGAATCCCGTAGCAAGATTTTTTCTTTAACATTTTGGTTTCGGTAAAGGATCAGAATAATAAAAGCGAGTAAATTAAATCGGTAACTGTCAAGCATATTTGGATCACCTAATAAATTACTGTTTTTCAGGCACTGGACAACGGAGAAGATTTCTTCGAGAAATATCCTGACTCAGCAATGGCGAAAGCATTCCTTGAGTTGGCAAAGAAGATAGAAGCTTTGCTAGAGTAGGATCTTCCTATTTCTTCAAACTGTTAACATTCCCTACCCATCGATAGTCTCGAGAGATCTGTGATATGATAAAGAGGTCGCCCCCCACATTCACAGCTTCTTTTTTAGCTTTTGTTACCTTACTTGATAGCTTCTACCTTATCTTGTTCGCTTCGCTTTTCTTTGAAGCTTGATGCGTAACATCTGGAGCCATCTCTTGTTGATTTTTAAATGTCTGCCATATTGTTGGAATAAAAAGATCATATTCTAAGTTGTAAGTTCTTCTCGATTCTGGCTTCAGCGTAATTCTGACATACCATTGCACATACCTTCTAACTGAAAACCGTGTAAATCGTGCAAATGCACTTCTCAACAAGTGACAAGATACTAGAAGTTTCGTAGCTCTAGAAATAGGTTTCGATTTCAGGTCACGGATATGCATCGAGTGGTGATCACAGGTATGGGTGCCGTGACACCTTATGGCGCTGGTGTGCCGTTGCTCAGGAAAGCGTTACTGTTGGAATCTCGCTCTGCGCTAAAGTTCTCGGAAGAATTTGGATTTATGGTAAGTGGTTAGCTTTAAAGCAGTCCTGCCTTTTTTGCCCTGTTTTCAGTAGGAAATGAGATATGCTACTTCAAAAATAGAAGACATCCCAGCTACAGGACAAAATTGTTGACTGTGCTATTGGGAAAGAAGTTGATGGTGTTTCTTGGGCGGATGCTTTATGCGCTTTGGTACAGTCTTGGTCGTTGCGGATGAAGGGGCGTGGCACGCTGTAAGGCTGGGTTTATTACTACCATTGTGAAATGTATTTAAAAAAAAAATTTATCAGTTACAAATACTCAATTGCAAATAACTATAGAAAGATAAGTAGACTAGTTAGAGGAATTCTCATTGGCAGCGGTGTTCGACCCTAGTTCTCCTTCTACCACTACAATCTTTGATTTAAGCTTTTGTTATCCGCTGCGACAGTGTCCTTTACGCAATATTCCCTTAGCTCATTTAGCCCATCTACAACAAACCATTTTTCTTCCTCTTACAAGTATTTGGTACTCACTCCTGTTATATCCTTCCTTCATTTTTCCTGTACAATTCCTTCTCATCTTTATTGCATGAATTTTGCATGTCAACTTTTTTACATTTTTTTCGTTTTATCCTATTCCTTTACTCCTTCCCCTATGTAGTCCATGTCCATGTCGTCAACCCTGTCGCACTGACGAGCCCGGGGTTGTAAGACATCGATGATTCGTCTGCGATAACGGCGAAACGGATCATCTGTGCTTTGGAGTGTATTCCTTTCCCCAATGTTTGTTTTTCTTTGTTTCTATTTGGTGCGTCGCCAGTTCGTTCTCCAAAGGTTGTTGAAGCAAGTAAGCGACAACAAGTGGTGGAAAAGGAACAGCTGGAACAAACAATGTAATACTGTCCTGTCGCTTGTTGAAAGAAAAAAAGGGGCTAGGGCCGCTACAAACTCATCCTCTTGTACGCCCCCGTCATTTGCAGCGAACAAGACTGTAATTGAGGGGATAGGAGGCGGTGCGATTAGGGTTTCATGTGTTGCTCTTATTCCTCTTTCGTCTCACTCTTATTCCTTGAAAGCTCAGACCATGCAGAGCGCAGACGATCAGGGTCGCCGCGCCCTCCCTCCTCAACTGCATAAGCGCTCTTTTTACTTCTTAATCTGCTAACAAGGTGGCAAACGTTTTCATAGGGAGCGGTTTTGAAAGGCTCACTCAAAGCTTCTTTCAAGGTAGGGGCCATTCCGGATGACAAAGTCGACTTCGGACGGTGGACAGCCGGACAAATGCGCGAAATGAGCAGAGCTAGCCAGTTAGCGCTGTTAGCCGCAGAAGAAGTGAGTAGTTTTATGGTCTCTTATAATATAATCTGTTTGCGATGTCTTAGTGGCTACGTTCCACCAAGAAATACACTTTTCGTCCTTGATGTATTATGAAATTGTTGCAAAATTTGAAGAATTGTATTTTGGCGTAGCGAATGTGTCGCTATACGTTGTAACGTTTAGGTTATGGCGTCATCTGGTGCTGAAAATCTCGATCATACTGACACATTAGTGAATATCGGAACTGGCGTCTCTGATCTGTTAGAAATAGGTAGAACCGCTTCTTTGATCGAGAAAGGACAAGCAAGGTGAATACTAGTAGATGCAGGCAGCGAGTGTAAGCTATAACTAGCTTTTCAATGAAACTAGTGAGCTCACGCGAATTCCAATCTCTTTTTGGCTCCTTCATTTCAATCCTGCTTGTTAATCTGTCTGTTCTACGTTTCAGAAAGGTGTCGCCTTACTTTGTTCCCCGAATTCTAACCAATTTACCATGTGGATACGTTGCCATGAAGTGAGTTGCTGTTTAAGGTAGTTTGAAAGGTCTTTTGAATTTAATTGTAGTTCTTATAGTGTAATTTGCCGCGGTGGGGCGTGTCAGGCAAGATGGGTTTGGCACGGTGCCAAACCGCTCCACCAGCTGTTAAAGCGAGCAAGTGACAAGACTGTATCATGTCGTTCGTATCACTCGTTTCCCAACAACTGTTGTCGCGTAACTGCTTCAACAACTGGCAGAGGGTTTTTCACAGTGGCACAGTCATACTGCCTGCCACGCCTCCACCATCCGCAGCGAACTACACTATAATCACAATGTGATCGCTTTACAGCATTGAATGATGCTGTTTGACGACCATAATAAGCTCACTTCATTTTGAAGGTACGGTATGAAGGGCGGAGCCGAAAGTACCGCAACAGCCTGTGCAACGGGACTTCACTGCATAGGTTCGTTTCAGAGCCGTGGATGGGTTATGAAACCTGATTAGAGAACAATCGAAATGGTTCGCTTCGTAGTTGCTAGTTTCGAGGTTACTACGGTTCAGGAAATTCATTTCGAGCTGTTCGTCATGGATGGGCAAGACGGGCAATTGCTGGCGCAACAGAAGGTTGTGTAAATGCCGTGGCTTTAGCTGGATTCGATAGGTGGGCATGGCATGCTATATGTTCCAAGCTTCCAAATTTTAGAAAGCTCAAGGTTACACTTACTAGTCTAGTAGAGCCTACAGCTCTCACTAAGATGGGACGTGTAATTCAAAACTTAGTCATAGACACTAGCGGAGGTACAAAATGCTCTTCATCAAGCCGAATGTCGCCCATTCAGACTGTTCCTTTCAGAATGCGAGCGTTGTCCCGTGGTAAAGAGCCCTCGTGCAGTCGCCCATTCGACAAAAAACGCGATGGCTTCGTTCTCAGCGAAGGGGTCGGACTGGTACTCCTGGAGCGACTGCAGGTAAGCTGTGTACCCTCTGCTAGAAGTCACAGGTGGCAACTCCGACTGTACTCAAAATCTCATTGTTGTTCAGGACGCTCTCGAAAGAGGTGCCCCAATACTGGCAGAAGTTTTGGGTTACGGTACGTTACCGTAGTTTTGGGTATGGGTGTAGAGTGATTATGAGCTAGGCATTTTGTGACTAATTGGCTTTGAGAATAATTTTTCTTAAAGTCTTTAAATCTTCTTCAGGGATATCCTCGGACTGCTATCACATCTCCAGTCCCGATCCATCGGGTATCGGAGCGCGATTGTCCATGCAGCGGGCGATTGAGGACGCCAAGATCAGTCCGGATGGTGTCAGCTACGTGAACGCTCACGCGACATCCACACCAACCGGTGATACGATAGAAGCACTCGCAATTCGTGAAGTGTTTGGAAAACGGAAAATAGCTGTTTCATCCATCAAAGGTAGCCGTCACTCCATTGAGTTCGACCTCTCCGATACAGTGCAGTAGTTTCCAGGTCACATTGGCCATCTGTTGGCTGCCGCTGGATCGGTTGAAGTCATAGCGACAGTGGAAGCAATCTGTGAAGCAAAATTGCCACCAAATCTGAATCTGGATGAGTCCGATGAGGACGACGGCTTAGCGCTTCTGCGGCAAGTCATTGAATGGCCTCGTCCCAGGATAGCCATGGTGAACTCTTTTGGTTTTGGCGGCACGAATGCAAGTATTGTGATCTCAGAGCCTAGCAAAAAACCAGTTGGTTAGCTTAGTTTACTCGAGGAGGGTGACATCAAGTTGTTATAAGGGTAGTGTTAGTATAGACTGTTTTAGACTGTGGTTGTGTTTTATTTAGACTGTTTTAGAGTTGGTTATTATACTCTAAGTGTTGTGAAATAACCATAACTATTACGTGTTCTACGTAAAGAATAATTAGAATAGTATTTCATTGATACGTTCATATGTCTCTCGAATATTGTGATCGATTAATTAATCGCTAACTGCAGCAAGTTAAGGTTTGAATAAAAGTGCTCTGAGAATTCGATTTTCAGGCAATAATTGCTTGGGCTGTGACGGTCTCGTGAGAACGGGAGCGTTCTCCGCACAGGAAGCACAAGGGCATTTGGATTGGCATAGCCTTTACACTTGGTCTTGCAGCGCATTTCCTGCGGAACTTTGTATCCTGAAAGCGGCACGTCTCCTAGTCCCCGTGTGTAGTTGATATCATTGCAATTCAGGCGGAGGGCAGTGCCAAGAGGCGGAGAATGAGCCCGCCCACAGCTGCGTTTTTACCAATAGTGGTAGGTTTTTACCAATAGTGGTAGAAGAGCTGTAGGTGGGCTCAATCTACGTCTCTTGGCGCCACCCCCGTCAGACTGCGATGATCTCAACGTACATCGTCTCGATCCAGTCCCGAAAGTATGTGAAAATCTGGCCAGTCAAAGAGACCAACAAGTAGTATATGCATATGTCGTCTCATGAAAACAAAATCGTTTTCTTACAGAAAAAAGGGTAGTTCATTCAAATTTCAAGAAGTTTCTGGCGCCGTTGTCTCATCTTCGAACCATTCATCTGGAAAAATCCCTCATGTAAAGATGCTTAGATCTGTCAGAGCTCAGAAAAGCTTACCACAGTGTTATCACAAGAATGCTGAGTGAGTTGTGGGCAAAAAGTCGTGCACCAGGCGGGAGTCGAACCCGCACCTCATGCTTCCGGACGAGTGCGCTATCCGTTACTTTCAGTTTCCAGTTTCCAGTTTCGCTCCAGGGTCACTTATACCCTCTCAGTTTAACGGCTCATGCCGTAACCTAACGTAAGCGGCCCTGGTGGCGTAACGGATAGCGCACTCGCCCGGAAAGCGTGAGGTGCGGGTTCGACTCCCGCCTGGGGCACGACTTTTGCCCACAACTCAGCATTCTTGTGATAACATTCGGAACGCGTACTGCGGCGTTAAACA